CCATTTCATAACCGAGCACATGATTTCCATCTTGCAATTGATATTTGTAATGGATTGCGTCCTGCGATCACCGAAGACACCCCCGAATGCTGGTCTAATATAATGCAACAATGTTGGCATCCTGATCCTTCTCAGCGCCCAACAATCAAACATCTACTTGGCCTAAATAATAAATACCGTGATATTTACGGGCACTTTAAAAATGAACATAAACCAATGTTTGAAAAGGCAGAGGAAAAGCGCAATCAGATGATCGAATTAGGTATTCCTTTTGTAAAAGACTCCGGAAAAGAACACTCTAATGCCAATTATACTAGTAGTTATTAACCCCATTGATAACGACGATTAGATCTCGCATGAGTTCATTCGATTCAAGCGGTAGTAAATAACTAAAATACACTATCATACATTGTGCTGTCAAATTCTTTTTATGAAAATTTCTAAATTTTTTATTTTTATTAATTAATTAGGTGATATCACTTTTGATTTTGAAGACGTGAGAGTCAAGTAAGTTTTTAAATTACGTTAAAAATTATTTCTGATAAAATTTAAACATGCAGTGGTAACGAACTTACATTTCACATGGTAGATCCGAGATTATTTCCAAAAAAGACGATAGGGATAAGTGGCAACAGTCATTGTAAATAAAAGAGGAGAATTAATAGTAAAAAAATTTGTACAAAGGGGAAGAGATTTTATTATACAATATCAAGATATCTTTTCTGTTACTTAAATTTAATCCATTTTGTAATCTTCGAATTTTGTCTAAAAAAAAATTTTTTTTTTTCATTTATTCATTATTATTTTTCTTAATAAATCAAATACTGTACTGTATTATTATTTTCGTGTAAAAAATCATTTAATATACTGTAACGGGATTTCAAATAATATACAGTATATGGTACAAGTTATCGGGCAAAGACACTAACTATTTTGCACCAAATTGAATTTCGAATTAAAGAATTAATTGTTGTATCTCATGGATATTATAATTCCATACAACAAACAGTTTTTTTAATAAAAAGGAAATCGTTTCTTCAAGCATTTGCAAAATTTACTTATGGTTGAGTCACGCTTAAATTTTATCTACTGTATGGAATTATGATAAAATTCTTATACGCATGTCACGAAAGTGAGTTGTTTCGGTCAACATTGCTTGAGATCGTGTGTATCACAAATCAATACTCGAAATGCGTAACAGCCAATAAGAGCTCTTTGAAGTTCAAAAGTAATTAATACTTCAGTATAGTTACGAAGCGACGACAATCTCGAATAATTTGATGAACTATTTCTACGATTATGGTTTCAATCAGTTTAACTCACATATTTTTAGACTTAAACTCAAAAAATGCTAAGATTTTTTATGTATTGCATAAAAACAAAAACTATTAAACAAGTTGTTTTAAACTATTTCCAAGGATTAAAACTTGTTTTTTTTTTGACAATTGAATAAATATTGATGAAGTTATAATATTTTAAAATTACTTTCTTTTATATAATATGACGTACAATTGGATCTCTACCATAGATCATATGTTATGAAATTAATGACCTGCGATTGGTCGAAATCGAAAGTCACATGATTGGATCAATAATCAAGATGCAATCAAAATTTCTTTTTCACCACATGAACTATCAATAACTTCACAAAAATGCCTTGTCTGTATGTATACATATAACTTTTTTTTATTCAATTTTACATTTACATGCTTATCATTTTCATATACTTCATTAGAAACAAAAAGTCTCGGAATATGAAAAAAAAGCAAGAAGAGTTAAAAAAGGCAGCATTGCAACTATCACTTTGTAAAGATAAGCAACTAGATGAGAGTGAAGTCAAAATTTCAAATACTAAACTTGTTTTCTTAATTCATGAAAATGACCGTTGTCATATATTATTTCTACTTCAGGAGAAAGATAAAGACAGAGAACTAGTAGCAGAGAGATACTTTAGATGGACAGGGCCAATGTGGTATGTTAAAGTTCCTAGAGACATACAAATTAGTACAGTTATGAGGTGTATGAGGTCAGGCGAAAGAGGCAATAGTGATTTGTTTTTCAAAGGTTAAGTTATTTATTCGATAAAATATATGTTCAAGCCTGTCAATTCCTAGGCAAAATTGGAGCCTTTATATACATATTTGAGTTATATTATTTT